CAGTTCGTGGAGGGGGGGGGGGGGTGTCGGATCCCCCTGACTTAAGTTGTAAATAATTAAATTTGTAGAATTATTAAACGTATACATGTATACTGAAGCATATAAAATACATGTATGTCAATATGCATATAAAGATTTGATTGCTTATTCTTTATTATGTGTATAGAAGATTCTTTTTATATGGAATATTTATCACACTGTAATAATGATTTTATAACCTCATAAATTTTTCATTTCACATGCTGAATACTATCATTGAGTAAAAAAAAAGTATTTAAAAAAAAAAAAGGATCGCCCGAGATTCGATCCCGGGACCCCTCACATATGAAGCGAGTGACATGACCACTGGACCACGGAATCACTTTATCTGATATGAAGTATATGCAGAACTGAAGTCACATACATGTATATATTCATGTTTTCATGTTCGGTATTCTCAAAGTTTTACACAATCCATGGTGTTTGATTTATTTAGCCTTTATTAAACAGATCTAATAGATGTAATAAGAACATAAAGTCCGCCGAGAACCTGTTTTATACGCAATAACTCTCCTCATGCCCCTGCGCTAAAAATAGCGACATGTAATACTATAAATACTAATAAAACAAACTTGGCGGGACACTTTGAGAGGGGCGAGAGACGTCCTAGGGAGTTTTGGTATAAAATTACATTGCATAAGCACAAAATCTTCTTGAAATATCACCCGGAAATGAAAGTATTATACACAGACAGAATGTATAAATTTACGACCTTGAACTTTGACCTTTTGACCTCAAAATCAATAGGGGTCTTCATTAGGCCACAGGGAGTTCTTATATAAAATTTCATTGCAATAGCTCAAATGGTTCTAGAGATATCGTGTGGAAACGAAAGTGTTTTAACAGACAGACTTTTCTTATTTATGACCTTGACCTTTGACCTTTTGACCTCAAAATCAATAGGGGTCTTCTTTAGTCCATAGGGAGTTGCTATGCTAAATTTCATTGCAAAAGCTCAAAGGGTTCTCGAGATATCGTGTGGAAACGAAAGCGTTACAGACAGACAGAAAGACGGACGGACGGACGGACGGACAGACGGACGGACGGACGGACAAACCCAAATTAATATCCCCCACTTTTCAAGCGGGGGACAAAAACGTAGCTTTATTCACCCACACTTTCTTTGCCCACTAGAAATATTGTCCATCCGACAAAGAAAGTTAATTCAAATATTCAATATTAGATATAGGACTGTTCAAATATCTAATTTTATATATAATAAATGTGTGTTTTTTGCTATACAACAGGTTTAACTCCATAAAATATATTGATATCGGTATACTTTATTAACTTATGATGTATACACAGAGCATAACTTATAATTTTTCCGATACATAAAATACTAAAGAAATCATAACTACTACATGTATATGCGTGTGCCCCCTCAATGAAAACATCTGATGACTTTTTTTGCTTTGTTTTTGGTTGTCAAGAAATTTTTGGAAGTTGAAAACTGAAAATGTATGGCTGAAATGAGCGTTTTGGTTTTACTAGTGAATTTGAGTCTTTGACCATAACTCTATGATCAGAGACTAAAATATAAAACAATAACGCCACAGTTCTGCAGCTTAGCTAGACTCATCTACTATTTGATATAAAATAAAGTAAATTCCAGTCTGTATTGTATCTATGATTTTTAATTAATTCAAGTTATCAAAGCCTTAGACGAAGATAAGTAATTGAAAACTAATTTTTTATGTATTTCCTCAATTAGGAAATCTACAAAATATTTTTGTGCCCTAGAAAAACGAAATAATGTAAATAAGAATATCAAAAACTTGATTGATAATGATGGGAAATATGTAAACTAACAACAAGAGATCTTGGAAGAAGTTAGAAAATTTCACAAAAATCTACATGAAAATAAAGATCAAGAACTGGATGATCTTGAAGATGTATGAACTTGTGTATTGATTGGGTATGTATCTTGCGAGACCCGAGCGGTTTCCTTTTAAATAATTTTCAAATATATATTTATTTTATCCAGTCATCGCAAGATTAATAATGAATGTTGATAACCACACATTTGTTCCCCCCCCCCCCCTCCCACTTGGCCATACCCGTAAATATTTTTCCGATATAATATACTATAGAAAACAGTGACTTTATGCTTATGTCCATTCAAAAATAACTTCCAATAACACCTATTTTTCGAGCTTAGATGGGGATAGGGGGATTAACAATGATTTTTTTTAAATTTATTATTCCCAGTGGGTCATTATCTTTATTAAGCATGCATGTTTCAGCCATCCGTATGTAAGGGGCTGTCTATTGGTTTCATAAACTTGGTCACTGGCTACTTTCTAATACCGTGTCTCAAACACTATCCACCTTGAAACCCGTAGTACTAATTGTTACAGAGACTAAGCATCGATTTTCAAAGTGGGGGGGGGGGGCAGACAAAAATATTATTTAAAACCTGAAAATAAAAACTGACAGAAAAATTTGTCCAAATCCTATTTCGGGGCGTGAACGGGGCGGGGGTGGGGGTCGAAGTTCATATAGAACCTCATTTCTTTTAATACACTACTACTTCAACGTTTTTAACTATACTGCACCACGGTACCAAAATGTAGGGGGCTTGGCAACCGACCTTTCGATGAACATTTTCAATAGTAAAATAAGTATGTTTGGAAAAAAGGGGGGATGCATGTACTGTTAATCTAAGTTTATATCCAAAGTAGATAACACGAAATATATATATTCTTTATATAAATCTCTTATGACATTCAAGAAGCTATCATGAATTAATTAAGCATATCTTGCAGACCAAAATACAATATTTCTTTAACTTTCGTTTTGATAATATATATAACACTTTTTCTTGCGTTGTAATTTAATCAAATGACCTCCTCGGTATTAAAATACTCAACGATTTCTTAATAGTAAAAAATAATAAAGGGGAGTAATTGAATCTCAAATCGCCTTGATTGGTTAGTTTGGATCTTGAATCTCGAAACTCGAATCTCGAATCTCGAATTTCGAATCTCGTATTTCGAATCTCGAATGAGCCTTCTGGGCTTTCGTACGAATGTGATGTAAGTCTCTTCAATAAAGGAATTAAAATTAATTTAAAAAAATCTAATCAGATTTATTTTGAATGTACGCGAATGTTTCTAATAGTCAAATAATTTGAATGTATCATTTTTCCTACAGGATCTTTAACTTTTATCGATCATTTACACATTGGATTCGGGAAAGAGGAAGAATGAAAAAAAGGAAATGAGAGGTTCAGATATCTTTTTCTGATGATATAAAAGAAATTTTACAGCTATTTTCATTTATCTTTTTTTCCCTATTTTTCGGACTACAAAAAAGTAACCATGATGAATCTATTATATTTTCATTTCTATTAGTTTTCTCTATGATCCCTCTTTGAAAGTTAGTTGAGAAGAATTATTGATCATTCTACTGGAATGTAAATTTCGCCAATTGATAGATCAGAGGCTAAGAAGGTCTAATATGCATGTAAATCTCAGGCGGCTGTATTTGTGTTTGTCGTCAGTGGGCCGGGACTATTGAAACAAGAGTCCTCATGTTGTCTATAGTCTTCAATTTTAAAATCTAAATTAAACAATTTAAGTTCACAATGAAATGGAAAGTATAAGGAATCGCTGTCTAGCGAGTAGAGTAAACGTGGGATAAGATAAGTGTAATGGGTTTCGCCGTTTAAAAATGCATGTATATTAGTTGAGGGGTAATATCACTTTGTAACAGATAAATTTGAAGCTGTGATCAGGAAAGAATGCTGGTAGGCATGTACGAAATATTGTTGTTTATCTTGTCCTGTACTTTAGGCAAATATACTATGGCCGATAGAGGCCATCAATTTACACTTATGTTATGTGAGTAACGTGTACATCATTTTCAACGAAACTTAATGACATGTTACACTTGAGACAAAAAGTGTACAAAGTGTACAGCGTCATTGCAAAATTCCATGTACACCAACTTTTGTGTTAAGTGTCAAGAAAAGTTTGATGTTCAGTCTACATCTAAAGGTAGTATCAAGTAACAAATTAAAGAGAAAAATTCTTTTCCTTTCCCTTTTTTTTCTTCCCCCACATTGGTACCCCTCTCTTATTTTAATTGGAGATTTTCTCTGTTTCAAGACACGCACGTGTTTCTTAAGATTCGCATTAAGCTTTTGCGGCAAACTTGAAGATTCTGGAGGAAACTGCGAAATGGTAACACGTAGGTTATAATAAATGATAAAATTTAATCAATATAATATCCAAATTTAAGCAGAATTGAAAGGGAAGAAATAAACTTCTTTTTGTTGTTTGTAGGTCTTTGTGCATTTCTATACGTAATTCGGGGGATGATGATGAAGCAATTATTTTATTTCATAAAAGTATTGCTGATTTGTTTAATTACAAATGCTATTTTGCAACAATTGAAATTACGGCGGGATACCCGATGAAGACAGGACCCTGGTTCAGATTTTTAATGTACCAGAACGATATAAAACCGCCAAAATACAATACTGTAAAAACAATATTGACAATAAGAAATAACTTATTCAAAACGATGTCAAAATCAAAGAGAAATTAGAAAAATCACAACACTATGTCGGTTCCTTTGAATTTAAAATTGCGTAGCTGATTGGTGTTGCCTATATGCACTTGCAGGCACCAATGTGGGGGAAGTAAAAAAGGGAAAGAACAAGAATTTTTCTATTTATTCTGTTACTTGATACCATCTTTAGATGTAGAGTGTACATGAAACTTCCATGTACACTTTACACAAACGTTGGTGTAGAGTGTACATGGAAATTTGCAAAACCGCTGTACACTTTGTATACTTTTTGTTTCAAGTGTAAGTTGTCATTGGGTTTCGTTGAAAATGCTGTGCACGTTACACACATAACATTAGTGTAAATTGACGGCTGCTATCGGCCATCGTACAAATAATTATACTAGGTTCCTGATTAAAATGAATTTCCCAAGTAGATATCTCACCGTTTATTGCTGTCTGATTTTCAAGAAATCGAGTCCTGTGGATCTCCAATTCCTTCTTAATCTGAGACGTCTGATTCCTCAAGTCCTTTCTAATCCCAGACTCCCGGTTGTCCAATTCCTTCCAAATCCGAGACGTCTGATTCCCCAAGTCCCTTCTTATCCCAGACTCCCGGTTGTCCAATTCCTTCCAAATCCGAGACGTCTGATTCCCCAAGTCCCTTCTTATCCCAGACTCCCGGTTGTCCAATTCATTCCAAATCCGAGACGTCTGATTCCTCAAGTCCCTTTTAATCCCAGACTCCCGGTTGTCCAATTCCTTCATAATCTGAGATGTCTGGTTCTGCAGTTCCTCCCTGACCTTAAACTCTATCTGGTTCTTTAATTCTTTTAAAACGCTAGACTTTCGGTTTTCCACTCCCTCTCTAATCCTAGACTCATGGTTCTCGACTTTCTTCCGAAGCTCTCGATTCTCATCTGTTATGACTTGCAATTTATCCACTAGGGCCTTAAGCATGTCTTCTGTTATGCCATGCTTGCATATGTCATCCTGAGAGTCATATATCAATTGTGGTACTATAACATTACTCACAATGGAAAGTATGATAAAAACTCTCCAGTAATACATGATTATAGTGAGAGTAGAAATAACAAAGTGTACTTTGAATTCCCTCATGTATTCTTTTGATTTTATAAACTTTCTAAGGATGTTCATACTTCCCTTTCCGTTAATCTTTTTAGTTTGATTTCCTTACTTTTTTTTACTATTTGTTTCAAATAAAATCTTTAAAAAAGATTTTTTTTTTTCTCTTAGATGAGCTAAATTATTGATATGTTGCATAAATGATATAAAGAGCATGAGAATTACATATAAAATAAAAACGTATTTTGTCTGATGAGGTATCAATTTTTCTAAGCTGTGATGAAATAAATTTAATGTATAATAAACTTTGTATCACATATTTTCAGAAAGATTACTTAACGATAATGGGAAAATTTTACCTTATGTAAATGTAATATGTTACCAAAAAAGAAATAATAATAATAATAATAACTAGATACGATCTCGTTGCGAGCAACGAGAGGTCTTCCGTCCGATTTCGAAAAAAAACTTTGTAAAATCTAGCTGAAAAGGTAAAAAAAAAATATTACACGCAGGGGGGATTGAATCCAAGTCGGCAGCATGAAAATCCAACGCGCTAAATATTACGTACTCTGTCGGGACCTCTGCTCTAAATCTTCTTGTAGATACCTCTGTATAACAGTGCTTTTGTCTTAGAATTATAAAAGCTAGTCACTATTCATAAATTCGCGCCAAACGCCACGAGTTAATCTTCGCGCCTTTTCTTTGGAATGTTCTATTTAATAAGTGTGATATCTTTAATGAAATTAAAAAAAACGTTCATTTAGCCTAAAACTTGATGATTAGAAAGTATATTTAATACATTTCACAAACTCCATATAGTATGTAAGGAAGTAACACTAAAAGAGTGAAATGGCTATGAATTTTAACTTTTTTTTAAAATTTCATGTTAAAGTGAACTCGCTAAAGTGAACTATCCCAATTAGTTAAAAACATTCCTGAAGAGATTGAAATGTTTCGTAAAAAAAAAAGGCTCGCCTTACGACGGACAAGGAATTGGATATCGTTTGTGCTCAATAACTTGAATAAGATCTTTGAGACAATAATGTTAATATAAACTCTATTAAGCGATCTTTAAAAAAATATGGTTATCTTATTTTGTCTTTTTTATTAGCTTAATATGGCACAAGTGTGCATGGGAAAAACAGTGGATAAGTTTTATACTTACTGTATTCATTGATATCCTTCTTGAAAAACTATTACTTATAACAATGATTAATGAGCTGAAGATATTAGGTATCGAATTTCATTTGCACATTTAGTCTTTCCTTTTTCTACTTTGAGAATCAACCAAAACCAATTATAGAAGACGTTTAAGAAGAATTTAGTTTGATACAGGATTGTAACGTAACTACAACGTGAAAATCCAAGTATTCCTTTACATTTCATTTGTCCTTATGTTACGTTCGTTCAAGCAAATGCTCGACTGCCTCAGTAAACCCCTATTGCGAAATGTCGGAGTTGACAGAGAGAGCGGCCATTTTGAAACGCTTCAAATTTTTAAATGCTAATATCTAGAGTTTAGATTTATCAATATTCAAACAAATTATATAGTAAGCATTATAAGAAAGGTTTCTATTAACATACAAAAAATAAACGAAAAATATTGAAAAACAAAAAAAATTTAAAAATTAGACTTTTTAAATTAGCTTCCGGTAGCGAGCGGAAGTAATGACGACAAACGAAAAGTCGCGTCCTGGATAGTATTTATCATCATCTATAATATCTGAAAGTTTCACATTGATATCTTTTACTGTTCTTGAGAAAATCCGTGGACAAAAGAAATCAGAAAAAGGTCTGTAACTTGGCACCGGAAGCGAATTTCCAAAAAATCTCTCAGATGTATCAAATTCATTTAACAAAACATCTGTCCCGAAAATTTCATATAATTCCATCCAGTAGTCTTTGAGAAATCGCGTCAGAAAAATAATAATAATAATAATAAGAAACAATAGAATCGCTATAAGGTCTTCCGTTAAGACGGAAGACCTTAATAATAAAAATCGATCCCCATAGCACATCGGAAATATGACCATGTAAAATTTATGCCCGATCAAGCAAGTTTAGACTCAATTTAGAATGATAAATCCCTGAAGATTTTTTTCTTTAAAACACCGATTTCTCGAAATTTGTATTATATCTGCAGAAAATCCAAATATTCAAAACTTCTAAGAATATACACACACCAATATAATTGTCCTTTAAACAAATACCCTTCAATAATATTCAAATAAAAATTTATCATATAATTAAATGAAACAATTAACAGACAATAAGGATAATCCTCAAAAGTCCAAATAAACATAACAGATGAGAGCAAAGTAAAGAAAAATCAAAATAAATCTCCTAAAACTTATAAACAATACAAATCTGTGAACTGTATGGTCATAAATCACTGACACCTTGAAAGAATGAATCCTCTTAACACGGTAATCTCGCCCCTTTTTAATGCAGAAATTTACCCTTTTTGATTAGAACATTGTTATTTTATAGCCAAAGTCTTCAAGTATAGTCTGTATAGATACAAATAAAGGATTTTTTAAGGAAAGAAACCTTCAATATAAACATGATATCGATTAAATAAAGTCGCATATTTTACTGTAAAACTTTGCGATAACGGCTATATATAGGTCATTGTACTGGTATTTGAATGAGAAGGCGGGGCGTCGTTCAAGCGTGCGATAAGTGTGAATACATTATCGTGTGTTCGAAGTGTACTAAGTTTTATGATGAAGTGACACCTAAAATCCCTATTTTTTAGTGCTAGAGACCGACGTTTAATTTATGCTATAAATATATACATATATAAAAAAAGAAAACGCCATTGTTAGACAAGTGTACTTTGTACAGTCCAGATTGCATTGTTTAAAAATTCTCGTCTTATGGTGAGATAAACAGTAAACCATTTCAAAAAAACAAACAAACAAACAAAAAAATAAAAAAAAAGATCACGTCCTTTTTCATTCGATTTTTGGTTACTAACATTTATATTTAAACTTTTAACTGTTGTTAGATTTTGTGCAGATGTAAAAAAAAAATTATGACATTTGTAGTGTCGTCAGAAGAAATCCGGAGTTTTTCTCTATTCAATTACATGTAGGGGTGCATTTTGTTCGTCCAGTGACTTTTCATCCGATATATGTCTTTTTAACGCCTCGTATTTCAATTTCTTTTCCTTAAGGTTTCTTTCATTGAAAGTACGCATTTGCAACAAACGGTTCATTTTCTAAAAATATGAAAAATTGGTATTTTTTTCATATAAAGATCTATAAAATTGACGAAAAACTGACAGAAAAATATATTTTATATCTTCCAGGAGTCGGTGAACCTAACGCTGATACGATGTATATGTATACTTTGGAACAAAGGCAAATTTATTATTGCCTGACGTCACGGCGTCAGGCTGTATAAGGATTGATATTTCCGAGGTGCAAAGAGAAGAGGTCACAGTTAGAAAGCAAAATTTTGTGCATGCTGATTATCACTGGAATTTGTTACCTCCGTTTCAACAAAACATTTCGCAGAAAAAAATAACCATCTTGATGATACAATATATTGATTTGTTTATTTCCTTTAGTTTTTTTGCATGCAGCTGTTTATTTCATGCAATTTCATATACGGACATGTCCGTTTGACCTTTTTTCTGCGTTTCTGTACTATTGGGTGAGTCCATTTGTCTTCTAGGTAAGGGGTGTCACATTCATTTTGCGCCAAATGTCACGTGTATATCTTCGCGCCCTTTTCCTGGATGATTCTACTGCACTGAATGGAAATGAAAACTTCAAGTCTGTTCTTTTTATCGGAATTTCGAACTTTGGGGAAAAAACATATCGGTGATATTGTGAAAGAAGTTAGAAGTTACTTCATTTAAAGTAAATAAAACGAAACGGAAAAAGAGTTCTTAAGAGGAAAGTGGCCAAATATACATAATATTTCTGATCATATCTCGCCCGGACTCGCAGCCCCCACCCCCGTTTTCAGAAATAAAAAAATCTCTCTCCTATGAAACACAAAAAATAGACTTAGGAAAAGTGTCCCTCCTATTCCAGGATTGAGGAATATAAGGAATCACCGTCAAGATCGATGGGTCATTTATGCATAACGGGCTGTTTCCAACAATCGTTGATGCTCTGGCATACCCAACAATCTAGTACTTAAACATATTCTGCATCTCATAACGATTCATTTATTTCTTGTAGTTATCATATTCTCAGCTGTCTTCCTGGTAGTCTATGCAGTTGAATCTAATTCTAAATTCTAATTATTCATTATTAGTTCATTTCCCTTATTTAATTATATACTACATCTTCTAAAACCATTTACAGAGTTGCGGAATGAGGAGCTGAGCTTTACGTCGCGTGTTCGAATCCACTGCAGGACGTGGAGATCGGTCTTTAGACCGTTTAAAACCAAGTCCCGAGTCGCAGTTGGTGTTAGCACGAAAAAGATTACATGAAACTGCTCATTGGTCCTGAGTTCCAAGTATTTGTAACACTCCACAGGCGTCCTTATACAACAAACGAAAAACAGATCAAAACCAATTTTTAACACATACAAAATATACCTTTTAAATAAATTTTCACTGTTCCTTTTCCGTCAGACACGTAGCAACGAGGGGGGGGGGGGGGGGGACTGTCACCCCCCTTTTTTCGCAACCTTACTTTTACTATAAATAGGAAATGTTAATTGAAAGGTTGGATCATCCCTGTATATAACAGGAAATTTATTAAAGGGAAATAGGGAAATGCAGTATTTAATGCTAAAAAATTGTTCGAAAAGAATTTGACACTGAAAAAAAGTTGGTCACTACCACCCCCCCCCCCCCCCCCCGAAATAGGATTTTCAACTTTGGGCATATTCCCTTTTTTTTGCAGATGAGTGGAAAAAAATTCTCTAGCTACCCCACCCCCCACCCCCACCCCCTACTTTCAAAAACTAGGCTCTCCATTGCTTTCATAAGTAGCAAACAATTAACTTAAAACTAATGCATGATGTTTTGTTCGACGTCTTCAAAATTTACTCTAATGAAATAATTACCCCTCACCCCAATGTAAACGTTTAGATATATAACTTATCATGATTATAGGTTCTATAGATATTGATTGCATTAGTCAGGCAAGCTTTTTTGAAAAGCTATTACTTGTATATATATATATATATCTATATATATCATTTAATAACAAGTAAATTAAAATGTTAACACGTCTTAAACAGTTAAACGATTCATTCTTTCAGAGATACGTGCCTCTTATCAGTAGCCTGCCTGGATTTCGAGAGTGCTCGAAAGAAAATAATGTCCTAGCTTATCATATAAACATTGTTTAAACAATTTAAACAATTTAAACAATTTAATTTTTCTGTTATGAAATGTATTAATAAAATGAAATACATATGAGCTGCTGTACAGATTTTCCAATTGTATATTTATTCTACTATTAACTTTAGACACTGGATGAACCTCTGCCATAATACTAAGGTGACTGAAAGTCTATTGACAGGGGCTAAATGGCAGAAAGGACTGGAATGATCATTGAATGGCAGAGTTCTCACTAAGAATTCCTAAGAACATTTTATGTAATTTATTTAGATAAGACCCAAAAGTTGAATTTACACATTTCAGGTGACTGAATGGTGAAGTTCAACTTTTTGAGTCGTATCTAAGTAAGACAAAAAAGTGTTTTTAATACGATATTGATAAAAACATTTGACGATGTCATGTTCTTTGTTTACAGAAAGTGGTAAAAGGTAAATCAAAAATTAAAAAAAGGAATACTGTGGAATCATTTTAATTCGTGGGGTCAATGTCCGTGGATGAGCAAAATTTTGTTGGTTCATGGCGACGTAATTTTGTAGGTTACTCATATACAGAAGATTCAATAAATAACTTTTAACTGACAAAATAAATGATCGTGGGAATGTAAATTCGTGGATAAGTGTATCCCACGAAATCCACAAACGTTGGTCCCCCATGAACATTTATGAATCCACAGTAGTTGTGAACAATTTGTAATAACGCATAACCTTAGTGAGTTAAGGATAAGTATGAGTGTTTTCATGCAAATGACCTAATGAAAAATATATATGTTATACTTTTTATACAGGGAAGGTAAAAGCTTATTTTTAATACATAGCAGGTACCATTGACATTTAATGTTAACAGCCAGTATACATTATGATGTATTTTGACGTCATTGTTCTTTACTTCATGAGATAATTAAGAACATCGACAATTAACTTCGGTCATTGACAAACTCTAATTAAGTTTAAGGAAACAGGATAATGTTGGAAGCAGAATTAAATAGGATATGCCCTTGCGCCGAAGCTTTTTGGTTGATATCATTTTATTTCGGGTAGTAAAGAATTTGGACGCATTATATGGCGTCACAATTTCTATTTGCTATAACATGCCGCGGACGCTAAGAATTCATAACAACATTTTATATAATATAGTTACTTTTAATACGGTATACATGTGCATTTGTTTTTATCAGCTCATTTACATACACCTAAACCTATTTGTTCCGTCCCGGCTGCCGTAGTTCAAACTTTTTGGAACTCTTCTGTTTCCGGTTTACAATGTCGACCGCATGGTTGCGGCTCTGCAACACTTTTGTTTTTATTGTTTAAATACCTGCTTCTAACCACAGTGTAAGTTCATATTTCGTGAAAGTTTTGTGTTTTGTATATCAGAAATATTTTATCTATTCTTTGGTAGCTGTTTATTGTCTAAAATTACAATAATCGATAGATCTGTGTATTAAAGTTCTAGTCATAAATACTGTGTATCGTTATTATATTTCTATTCAAGTTAATTTATTGTATATCGAAGTTGAATAGAAAGTATTTTATTGCTATTTCAATTATTATTTGTATCATCTATAATGTTTTATGTAAGTAAACCTCGCGCCAAAAAAAATTATTCTATGGAAACCCGTTATCACCATTAATGTTAACCATTCAGCTATGTGCATGTAAAGAACACTGTTAATTCATAGACTTAATTTGTTTATTTTATTTGTTACAGCTTTTTACCATTACATTACATCAACAATAAAGATTTAAACCTTTATGTTGTGTGGTTAACTGGCTGCATCCTAAGGCAGCACACTATTCTTACATATAACTCACATGCGAAAAGGCGAATGTTATTAAGTAAATCATGTTTGGGATAGAAGCTTTGCTCTTATATAAATAACGACGAAGAGTGATAAATTCTTTAAAATGCATAGGTAATTTGTTATTCTTATAAAATATTTTGTACACTTATATTACAACGTCCAGAATTCGATTCCTCAGATTTCCATTATTCGTTGTCATGGAAAAAAAACAACAAATTTTTATTGAATTTTATCAGAACTATCAATAACAAAAAATTACACATATATCTTTTTTCCTAATTTTTTTCTTCCATGGAGTTAATATTTAACAAATATGTTGAATTCATTTCATATTAACGATTTCTATCACCGCGTTCTAAACCTCATTCTCTTCCATTCACACAAATCTTTAATTAAAGAAAATTCAAAAGTTTATATATGAGACAAAACATTATACTTTTTATGGCCGTATATTCCGTAGAAAATTGATGTATGAAATAAAATAGTTGTTGCTCTAAAGAAACCATTCCATATCAAATGATAACCCTTCAATTTCATATTCACCGCTGGAGAAATAATCTTCATGATTTTCTTCTTTTCTTTTATCTAAAAATTGACTCCATTCAAACTGTTTCTTCCACAGATATTTAAAATGTTCAGACTCCATAATCACATGATCACATATCATGGTCAACATTGTTGTCTCCCTGTTTACCTCAGACACAAATCGCTGTACGAGACAAGGATATATAGCTGGATGTACCTTTACAACAAAAGGCAAACTTTCTCTACAACTTTGCCGACGTACCCGGGAGAATAGAAGGGTCCAACAACAATTTGCAACAAAAAATGCTTGAGATTTTTTGTCCTTTGTGCAAACAGACAAAATAACATCCACTAGTACGTTATTTTGAAGTGCATAGCAATGACCATGTAAAGTATACACAAAGCTTTTCATTTCACAGTCAAGTAAAGTTTCAATTTCTTTAACCGATCGTGGTGCGTTGGAAAAAAAACGACAAATATTTTCATAAAGTAAAGTTTTCTCCACAAACTGGTTAAGAAAAACTATTCCTCCATTAAAAACTATAAAAACTAAAATACAAAAGGCGTCTTGCTGTCTTGAATCCCATGAAGATCTCATTTCAAACAGCAATTTCCGAAAAGTTTCAAAAAACCCATTGTATAATATATCTCTTCTCTTCTCAAATAATTTTTTGTTTAGTGATATCATTTGACATATCGTATGAAAACCAATTCCCTCTTTCTTTGCAACATCAGCCAACTCGGGAGCAAGCAAACTCATATATTCATCACTTAACTCCCATTCACAACGTTTTACGTTTGACTGAGTTGAATTGCTTTTTGAATTGGCATTGATGATTTTAAAACCCTGGTTTAGTAAATGATTGCGGAGAACCTCTATAGAATGTTTTTCAGTTATTCCCATTTGAACACATCTGCTATGAGGAAATAGCATGCATTTGAACGGATAGGTTCGTTCTAGCTCTAAATATTTCTCCCAGCTTCCTTCCGTTACAGTCATCACAACAAACATAGATCCTTTTGATATATAACTATGGTAGAGTTCGTTAAAAGCAGAAATGACTTTTTTAAAGTGGGTTGGTTGAAAGTTTATGTCTTCCAAGACATCACATAGGTATAAAATAGTAATACATTGTTCTCCACTAATATCTTCAATTCCTTCTACAGAAAACGTAAATCTAGACACACAAGTTTTCCCATTCAGAACGGTTCTGTCTAGATTTTTCAGAATTTTTATTGCAATCGAAGATTTTCCACTTCCTTTTGGACCAACGATGGCAACGGAGCCAAATTTTAGGAGATAATTATACGACGTAGAGAATTCCTCTGTTTCGTGGAAAGTGTTGTCATTGTCTAATAACTGTCTCAAATCTTGAAAAATAATGATAATAAAAGTTGAAAAATGCATTAAGTTATTTTGAAGAAGATCTGACTTCTTTGTGTGATTATATTTCCCGTTTAATATCTACTGCAAAGTAATGAATTGAATATGTGATAGCTATTAACCTTACAATTAATGATTTAAAATGTGAGACAGTAGAAAATAGATTTTATTTTTTTAAAAGAAAAGATTTATTGATTGAACAACTGTATGTTGCTTTAAGTCACATTCGAATTTTCACATATAGAGTACCATCTACAGGTGAAGAGCAAAAAAATCCTTTATCTAATGCATAATGAACATAAATTGAATTAAGCAGATAATAAATATTTTTTTCTATCTAAATGTATTCTCTCTTACAAAGTGGTATTTTCGGTAGATGATCTAACGAGTCACCAAATGCTGACAAATCCATCGCATCCTCAAGAAAGCCAGAAGACAGAGTCCGAACTGCAGTAGATATAGCAGGATATATTACATTTCAAATTAATTCAACTTTTCTTTCTCCCAACTGTTACTCTATTCGAACTTAACAATTTTTTGTTTTTCAATCAAGTTTTGATAAAAAAATATATTAATTTTATTTCTAGAAATCATATTAATTAAGTGAAGATACTACCTTCCATACAATCATGTTTTCGGGAAGGAGAGGAACATTTGTCGTTATTGCCAGGCTCAGGTTGATTTTGCCTGACTTTGGTTACTGAAATAGTACAAAGATTTTTGTACATTATGGCAGATTATATTAATATGAATTAAAAATCAATAAAATTCTTTAAAAATTTGGTCACACGAGTTAAAAATGTTACCGTTTAAGTCTGTGCGAATATCCGTGAGAATTTCTTTTAATTCTGTGATTTGGCGGGAAACAAAGCAGGCTTCTTCCAATGCTTTCTGGTATTTCTCATACAACTCTTTGTCCAAAATACAATTTTGCAAAGATTGCAGCTTTTGAGAAAAATTAATTCCAGTCGTACTTTCCATTCGTTTACACAAGTCTGATATAATTTTCCAATACTTTGTAAATTCACTCTCAGATATTGCTGCACAATTGTTGTGTCCAAAGATTTCATTACGTATGATTCTTATTCTTTCCACATCATCGCCTGTAGTTGTTTCACTCGTGTTTGGTAGGGTGTGTACACCCCATCCATTTGTGGGTTTTGTTACTTTTATACAGACATTCCGAATTAATGTATATGATAATGTTATATCAAATTCTGAATATCCTGAAATAGTAGCGTTTTTAATACGTTTCCATTGCTCTGCATTGAATTTAAAGGCATATGTGGATCTTCTTATTTCATTTTCAAGATCATGTGGAGGGACGTTTGCCGAAAGGATAAAACGAAGAATTTCTGATAATTGTTCTAAAATAGCGATTCCCACAAGAGAGAATCTCATGTGATCATCAGTCACCGAGCCAACTGATGCCATATCAGTCTATTTCCTGGAGCTAAAAAAAATCCCAAAATTCTTAATATTTCCACATATTTTCATAACTTAAATCTATCTCAAACTATAAAAAAGCTTTTTTTTCTCATTTGTCCAATTGGCATCAATATATGTATTTATTTTAAAATTCAAGGTAAATATTGTATCTACACATTTTTTTTTTACAATTTCCATTTCTATGCAAGTCAAAATAATTTTAATTTGGATTTTAAAAAGATATACAATGACTAATTATTGTTCCCTCCCCGAGAGTTTTAACAAGCAACCAATAAGCACCACTAAATACATTCATTAAAGCATACCGCTCAGCGGTACTTGATGTCCTAAGGCCACGAAACCGTGATCAGTTATTTAGTACGCAACGAAAGATAGCAATTTAATGTGATATTTAATAATAAAAAATGTAATAAATGAATCAATAAACCAACTTTACCTTCTAAAACAAGGTTTCTTTCATCTTAATTCCTGCTCGTTATTTGCAAATTCATTGTGTCTCTTGTCCTCCATTGTCTATCGAGCAAAATACAGTACAAAACATGTACAGGAATTTTCATGATTTTGAACGAGAGAATATATTGTTCGCAGAATATACTGTAGTATAATATAATTGTATATGTTAACAAAAAGGAAACTAAACGATAACGTCTCCTCAAACTTTTTGTAAAGTTTTAAAACATTTTAGCAAGTGCTTAAGAATAGGAAACTACACCATAAGTGCTTCAATAAACGATTAGTGATTATGACATAAACAGTTTTAATTCTAGCTATGAGGAGGATAAAGTTTACTTTGTTTGTATTGATTTTTTTATCGTTACTTTTATTATTTGTTAAAAAATCCAAAATTTAAGCTAAAACTAGCCTTTTTAAAAAATCCATACCCTCTGATACTAAATGTTTTAGTATCAGAGGGTATGGATTTTTTTAAAAAAGGCTAGTTTTAGCTTAATATTGTATTTTTTAGTAGTAATAGTTTGTGAATATGTCATAGATAAATATTTTAATCAAAAAAAGTCAAAGAATTTTAGAGTACGGAACACAGAAGGGGGGGGGGGGTCCCGTCCCCAAGCACTTGTAGACGAAACACATTTATTTAATTTGTACGTAAGACATAAACATAGGTAGTTACTGTTCATTACCGAGCGCCCGGCATTAAAAGTTTTAGGATGAGATCTAACAAACCAATTGCATGGCCCCGTGAAATGGAAGCAGTTGGTTGACAGGATGAAAACTTCAACTGCCTAATAATAGTTGTGTAAAGGAGATTTACTCTTTTTTTAGTCATTGTAACTCATTAACTTAAGGAGGATAATCGTATGCTGATTGTGGTACACATAAATGTACTTTATAATGACGTATTTTGTCAACTGACTTTATTTAAAAAAGTGATCTAAAGGAATCCGTTCATTTAATCTTGAGAATTTACACAAATTAGATAGGTCTCCCTGTCCATCTAAATCCGCAATCGTATTAATCTAAAATTTATATATTACGTATTTGAAAGATATATTTAATTGATAGAATACTTCATTGCTGTATGCCTAGATTAATTCAAAGGTATGTTAGGCTTTTATTATTATTAAATGAGGAAGACTAAGATTATTATCCCTGGTAAACTTATATTTTGGTCCTAATACAAAGTCAAGCATTTATGTTTTGAATAAGTACATTGTATACCCAGATCAGGAGAATGTGATATACAAGTATTGGTTACAACAGTCAAAGCATCATTGAATATTGAGCAAAGGGGAATATTAATTCCTTTGCAGGACATAATTAAAATAATATATCATTCATAAAAAAAATATTTTTTTTATAATTATTGTGTTAAATACCAAACAATATATTACATTAAGTGCATATATCCTAAGATCAATTTTACTAGACATATCTTTTTTACAATGTATCTATACAAATAATTGATAAAGTTTTTGATATAAATTTCAATGACACAAAAATCTTCACAAGATATGTAATCGAAGTGTCCTGAACACATACTTGTATAAACGTTCACATACTCTGAACATGAACTTTATACACAACTGTGTAAATAGGCCACTTCGAATACATTTTTATCTTTTGTGTAATATTCTGAATGTTATAAGTTATCTAAATAACATAACATATAATATTGCATGTAGTTGAGTGTAACATTGAAAGTTTTCACCCCAAGAAAACCATTGTCAACCGAGGCGCAGCTGAGGTTGGCAATGGTTTTCGAGGATGAAATTTTCAATGTTGCACTCAACTACATGCAACATGTGATATTGCTGATTTTTTTCTCATTTCCCTTTTTCTTATAAAATTAACCTGGCTTGGTATATTTTTCTAAAGTTTATATTACACTTTTAGCACCAAGGTAACATATTCTGAAATTTGTTTTCACCTGTAAACCTTTACTGAGTGTGATTTGTCTATATTTGTTTTTTTTTTTAATTGAAATTAAACTATTATTTTCCAAGTTTATTTCATTTCCCAGTTCCTAGGAGAACCGCTCTTAGTTCTTTCTAATAATTATCCACTTTTCTAAACTTGTGAAATGATATAAAGTCTCCTCCAAAGAAAAATATTGTTTGTATCATCTGTCCTTAGGAGGCATATGATTGTTTGGATGGATTTTTTACCTTGAATTCTGTTCGTTTTCTTCAGATATTTTACTTTTAAAATACTTCTGATATTTTTTAGAAGTTGATCAGAAGACAGATAAAAACTTTAATTTGTTATCTTAACACGCTTAACGTAAACAAAAGCAGTTCAAATTAACCATCATTTGGTCAGTAAGAAGGAAGATTCAACAGTAAGGGTTTGATATATAATATGATTGTAAATATTCAAAAGAATGTTCATATAGACATTGTCATTTCGTTCTTTGACAAATATGATAATAAATGCTTGATGTGATATTAGGAATGTAGATATGCTAGCTTTTTTTCTTTTGCTGACCTTTTGGCCTTAACTCTTACCTTATACTAGTGTTGACTGTTATTTATAAGGAAAGATGATTTTGACAGGCATACATTTATTGATTGCGTTCGAGGGTAACATGCCTTTTATCGGACCAAATTGCAAGAACCAAACACTTTGGATCGAGGGGTCAACAAAACGTATTTTACCTGATAACACAGTAAATAAATGTAAAATTATCATATCTGTTGTTATGTACCTTCCCATGTATCTCTCCTGCTTTCTCTTTACATGTACTAAAACTACGAACATCCTGTCTTTGTTGAACAACAGCAAAACAAAGAAGATTTATTAGATTCCGCCCACGGTTTGGGGTAACCGGTTTAATATTTCATGAACAGGTCAATTATCTCACACTGCATTCAAACATCGATTTTTTGACCGCTCAGTAAAACACTGGTAATGTTAATCTTTTAGTATACATTAAAATAGGAAACATGCCCGAACTTCTACAACTAAATCTGCATCATATACGGAGTACATAATTGATAATAGATTATAGGAAACCTTTCCAGTGGTCATAGGCATGTTGTTAGGGGCATTAACATGTAATGTCCAGAGGATTTGAGTAGAGTTGTTGTCGTTTTATTTAAGGGCAAAAGTTTGTTCTCATTTCTGCTTTGAAGTTACCCATCATTTTCTTTTAATTGAATGTTGAACTAAATATTTATATCAAAGAAGTACTTCCGTACATTGTCTTTATGAAGAAGTTAGGCTTCATCCGTAAAAGTCAGCGCTTTCCGTAAAAGTCCACTAATTATTAAAAAATATTGCATGTATCATATACATATTACTTATAAAATTCTAACTGTGATTACTAATTTAAACTTCAGCACACCGTTTTCTACTATATTTCATCCGAAAAAGTCTATTAAACAAGGAGGAAAAGTAAAGAAAAATAAATATGCTTTGTACACCTATTATGAGATTCATTAGACTTACCTGAGTGTAGATTAACTTTTGTTCTCAAAATAAATCGTCAACAAGCTGTAGCCATCTTTTATTAATTTATAAATATATAAGATACCTGCATTATCACATAACGCATCCAAAAGGTATTTACTTTAGATAGACAAATCGTTATTTATCAGTACGTTTGATATAACCATGTGGATTAAGATGACATAGTTGATAAAATTAGTGTGTTTGTTCATCTATATATATAAACACATGCCAAAATTGATGTAAAAAACATTAATAAGGGGTTTTATTTGATGACTTTTTTCTAAATAATTTATGTGCTGTAGATCACTAAATTTATAATTGTGTCAAATGCTGACTGGCGTTTTTCATACTTACTTTTAGTCCATTATTCATACAGTCACCAAATTGACGACAGATTTTCTGTTATTTCCCGATAATGACAAGGATCACACTACGGATGTGACCGGTCGGCAGGGGATGCTCACTCCTTCATGGCATATGATTCCACCTCTGGTGTTCTGGAAGTCCGTGTTTGCTCTGCTCCTCTTTTGTATTGTTTTATGGACTTTTGATCTCCAATACTGTTTCTCCATATGTTTCATTTAAAGTATATATAATACATTTTATACGCAGATGTCAACAAATCACTTGAATGTGTGTGTTGTTGTTGTTGGTTTTTTTTTTTTGAAACATACTGATATAGAGTTGATGATTATATGATTATTGTAAGAGCGAAATAGACTTTTAAAATCATTTTAATTCGTTTTTTACTTTAAAAAACCATCGAAACACAACGGAAATCAAATTTACTCTTCATCAAGATCAAGTAACATTTCTGGTCAATATTTGCAAGCGTTTATAGCCAAGTATTTTAAACGCCCGTATTTCTCTAAAATTCAATAAATCGGAACAAAATTTTACATTGATCTATAACTCATCAAAATGCATCCAAATACCCAAATCCAGCTCAACATCTACTATAGTTCTCTCCAGTTTTATTGGTAGGAGTTACATGAAATAAACAGAGGATAAGATATGCTTGTGTTTAGAGTATGGATTTAAACGTCAATAAATAATA